GTCAGAGCCCACGCAAGGGGCACCCCGCACGAGGGGCACCCCGCGGAGCGCAAGCCTTCATCCTCCGCGCTCACCCTCCGGGGCGAGGGGGAAGCGGCGCGTCCTGGCCAGTGCCTCCCACTCCCACCCAGGACCCTCGCCGGGAGCCGGGGTGCAAGAGCCCCAACCTCTGCCCCCCGGCTCTCAGCTCGGCTGCCTCCAGACGCCGCCCGCCGTCCATCTCGGGCCTAAAAATAATCACCCCTGAAAGAGCAAACAGCCACACACACAAAAAAAAACCCTCTTAGTCATGCCTGTCTGAAGAACTAAAGCAGCCTTCTGAATTATTCAGTTTGCTGCTTTTTTTAGACTGCAGCAGCAGAAAACAGGAACTCTCTTTTAGCAAACATGGTTGGATGCAAACTCATTCTGAAAAGCCTAAAAAGCTCTCCCTTAAGTCAAGAAAGTGTAAAAGCCTTTATAAATAAAAACTTGCACCAAACGGGGAATATGCAGATGGGTTAAAAGAAGAAATATAGCTTTAATTAGAAAAGAACACCTTTAAGTGTCCTATTTAGAAAATGCTAAAGAATGACTTTTTTCAGGGTTTTTTGTGGGTCTTGTTGGGGTTTTTGGTTTGGTTTTGGGGGCTTTTTGGCTTTTTGCTTGTTTGGTTGGGGGTTGTTTTGTTGGTTTGGTTGTTTGGATGTTTTTTTTTTTTAAGACTTTGTGCACTAGCAACTTATTCAACAGCAAAAGAGGGTGAGATAACAAACAGCAAAGACTGAACCTCAGCTGGGGCAGCAGTTAAATGCTTCCCTTGCATACATCATATACTCAGAAATATTGTTAAGTGTAGACTACCGTTCCCACAGACATGGCATTTTTTCTGTGAATCCTCACAAAAATCAGGCATTTTAAGCCACAAGAGGTGTGCTGCCACAAACACTAGACATTATTTACTAGCTAGTTCACACATGTAGATTTTAAGTACCTCCTACATCCAACATGGAAATGAGCCTCCATCTCCTCCATCCCCAGTTCACCTTTTATTCCTTGAGCATGGTGGGAAGTTCTTCTATTTCTGCCCCTCCACCCCGCCAACAGCAACAAAATTGCATGGCTCATTGAAAGAATTTCCTTTGTAATGTATTAACTCTATTAACTAAACCAATTTTTTGATGGACGTGTTTTCAAACGTCTCTCCAGACAGCAAACTATTCCAGTTTAAGCCATTTACCTCTTTTAAAAATAACACCAGAGCAGTTAATCAAGCACATTCAGCTACCTGTAAATATTAACTGTGAACAAGCAGCACAATCCAAGAAGATTCTCACCACAGTACAACTCTTGAGCGGTTAGTTTGAGATGTTTATTAGGGCGATTTATTCAACAGTGATATACAGCTTCACATCATACAAAGCACTGGAATCATTAAGAAAAAATCAGAAGTGATAACAGACAAGCTTGTAAGCACAAGAAAGTTATAGTATATTCTGCGAAGATTTCATATCATCTCCAAAGACTGGAGAAAAGTATGGGTAACATGAAATTTAAACAGAGGAACATATTTGGTAGCTACCTGGCTTTCTGAAAACAAAAACTGAGAAATGAAACATATACTCCTGCATATTCATTTACTGCACTGAATTTTCAGCAAGATACACGTACATTTTGTGGGAGTGACAAAAGATACAACCCTCTGCATTGACTCTCCAACATCCCCTACCTCCCCCTTGCCAAAACGGTCAGGCTCCCAGCACAGGCACGTCACACTTCTGCCCCAGAAAAAGCAAGTGTGTGACACTGCAGAGCTTTTTGGTAAGAGTCCTGTAAGGAAGAACCACCACAGACAAGAAACAACCACCTCCCATCCTCTATCTCCAAGTTTACATTCAAGTCTGTAAACCTAATGACATTTAAAACAAACAGGGATAAAAACAAATATGGGGGGGAAGTGGTAATGGAATGAATGAAGGGTGTGGAGCACAGGGCTGGTGGGGAGCGGCTGAGGGAGCTGGGGGTGTTCAGCCTGGAGAAGAGGAGGCTGAGGGGAGACCTGATCGCTCTGCAGCTCCTGGCAGGAGGGGGCAGGGAGGGGGTCGGGCTCTTCTCCCAAGGAACAGCGACAGGTGAGAGGAAATGGGCTCAAGCTGCGCCAGGGGAGGTTTAGATTGGATACTGGGAGAAATTTCTTCACAGAAAGGGTGGTCAAGCATTGGACCAGGCTGCCCAGAGAGGTGGTGGAGTCCCCATCCCTGGAGGGGTTCAAAAACGGGCAGAGGTGGCACTGGGGGCCATGGTTTAGTGGGCATGGGGGTGTTGGGTTGATGGTTGGGCTGATGATCTTAGAGATCCTTTCCAACCTTAGTGATTCCCAGTTTTACTTGCATTAAAAAAATAATTTGGTTGGACTGGATGATCTTCAAGGTCTTTTCCAACCTAAACGATTCTATGATTCTATGAAAAAATAATCCACCCCCCAAGTTCATGAAACATGAACTTTATTATTATTACTCTTGCCTTAACTGGTTTAGTGGTGGACTTGGTAGTGTTAGGTTAATGGTTGGACTGGATGATCATAGAATCACAGAATGCTTTAGGCTGGAAGGGACCTTCAGAGCCCACCCAGCCCAGCCCCTGCAGTGCCAGGGACAGCTTTAACCAGAGCAGGGTGCTCAGAGCCCCGTCCAACCTGGCCTGGGATGGTGCCAGGGATGGGGCATCTCCCACCGCCTCTCTGGGCAACCTGTGCCAGTGCCTCACCACCTTTAAGATCTTAAAGGCCTTTTCCAACCGAAACAATTCTAGGATTCCATGAATTATTCACGTTATGAGTGAACCCCCGGGTGCCCCCGTCGGCATTAGCAAGCTTTGCTTTGGTCCGCTCGAGGCACTGCTGTGCCTGGCGAGCTGACAGCCATCCAGCCCGATTTCACTGTCCTGTGCCAGGCAGATCGCTCCGTAACTCCGTTCCCCACCTCGAGCTGTCCTAGCCAACTGCTGCAAGTGCTAGATACACCCCTCTGGCCAGTACTTTAACTCATTATTGCATTTCAATAAAATAGAGCATGTGCAGGGGTTGGGGGGGAAGGAGGTCAGGTATTCAGTTCATCTGAAAACTTTTGTTAATTCAATCTGAAAATTTCTCTCTGTAATTATTTACTCTCTATTTCTAGGGCAGAAATAGTTATACCCACTTAAGGCAAAAGGTGAGAAAGAATGACTTGTGGAACCAAGTTAAAATGCCTGCAAACTAGCCGTGATGCTGTCTTGCTCCAAAATCAACCACATTAAAAGAAATGGCTACAAAGAGGTCTTTAAAAATAAAGCCAAGAACACAACCGCCTCCTTTTATGGCAACAGACACCAAAAATCCCCCTGGAAGAAAGCACTTCATGACGAGAAGGACCAAACACCTCTCCCTGCATCACACACCACCGCCCTCGTCGCAGCTCCCGGTGTGACGGCGCGGCAGGCCTGATGGGTGAAGTACAGCCGGAGAAACGGTGCCGGGCGGCATGCAGAGCCGGGCGAGCGGGACCCCCCACCACCCCCAAAAGGGCGCCGGTGGCACCACGGTGGCTTGGGAAAGGTGGAGGCACTTGGCTACGTGCTACCACGTGGCCTATCTCCAGTAGAACCGGAAAGACAGAGGGCAATCCGTGACAGCCGTACTTGCCAGTGTATCCTGAATCCCAGTCGCCATTATCGCTCCAGTCCGTAGGGAAACACTTATTTCTGTACTTTTGCTCAGCACCTGGCCTCAAAGGCTGCTGGCCTTAGGCAACTGCGCGGTGGCTCTGCCAGGTCGGCACAGCGGGCCGGCAAGGGAAGAGCCCGGCTTTGGCAGCCGAGTGCCTGTAGGCAACGGGGTTTTCTCGGAAGTGACAGCTATCTGCCTCGGAGGAGAGCCCAGCGGTGTTACCTGGTCAGAAACTGGCACCACAAGGATGTCAGCTACTAATGAGGCTTTGAATGGTGGGTAAAGCAATAAACTGCCACCAAATTAGAGAACGAAAGCCTTGCGCCCCGGTGCACATCACCGAACAGGCTGATTACGCACAGTTCATTGCGGCAGCTCGGGACACTGCCACCCTGGGTGGGGAGCACATGAGGTCTCACGTTAAAAAAACAAACAAAAATCAAGATTGGATGGATTGAAGGAGATCTTCAAAGAAAACCTTCTGGTGGCATTAACAGTAGTATTCATTCAAGGTGCAATATTCTTCCAGTACGTCATGAGTAAACCGGTATAGTAGTGTAGTCGAGGGTACTAGCAGGGTACCAGGAATGTTCAGGTGCAAGCTACTCTCTTCACAAGAAGAAAACAGCATTTTTAGGCAAGTGAAAGTATGCTAGCTTTTGGCAATTTAGAGAATCATGTCCTACCTTAGACTGGATTTGGGTTCAAATAAATCCTGTACTTTTATCAGGCATTGTAGGCAAAGTACCTTGAGCTACATAACACCATTAGCCTCAAACAAAACATTCACTACTCTACAAAAACCCAGGCTGAGCTTGCCTCGTGTAAAATACTAAGTAGTCTCTCTATAAATTATTTCCTTCTTTTGCGTTTTATCTGTTGAATGGTGGTAACTAATACTTTTGCATTTGGAAAGCTTTGCACCTTTATGGAGACAGCAGGGATTGCAAGAGGCTTTCTGACCTACTGTAGCTCTGTTTAAGGTTAAAACAGGCCCATTCCTTTTGGTGTTGCTGGAAACTGTCATCATTATTTCCATATAGATCTAACAATCTAGTCCTAGATCTTTTGTTTCTCAGTTTTAGAGGGGACAGATTATTTTTCACAGCAGGTGAAGTTTCATCCAAGGCTGTCATTACCAAAACGAAGCTAGAGGTATGAAGTTAAAGGCAATTTTCTTTCTTACTTCCAAGGCTTGCGGGAAGCGGCACGACAGCAAAGCAGCTTACTGAGGCAGGAATTTGGGGCTGGTCATTTGCCTTTATAGTCCCAGTTGACAGCAAGTGCTTGAACCCCATAATCCAACCCACCCCTCACAAACCAGAGACAATCTTGCCTCAGTAAACATGTTTCTTCCTAATTTGTTTCTCAAGTCTGTATAATAAGCGCTATGACATGAAAACACCTGTTTTGAGGAAGACAACATTATTAAAAGAGAAGAACCTCCTACAAGAAGGTTTCAAAGCAGCAAGGATAGAGGCAGGTATAACTCAGCGTTATTCTAAAAGGCTGTGGTGAGTACAGGGAGAAGGGAAAGGAGCTGCAGTCATAGTGGACCCATCCGCTATGAAAGCACAACTTTAATATCAAACCTTCTGTTATTAAGCGTCCATGAAAAAGGATATAAATTAAATTTAAAAGTGGTTGAACTAAAAATGGAGCTGTGGTTGTGGTTTTAAAAACAGTGGGAGTGCTGAAATAGTGCAGTTAAAAACCATCATGCCTGTTTGTGCTTACACAAAGAAAGGAAGGTTTCAACAAGCACTGCAGAGCAGAGAGGGAGGAGGAGAAGGGCTGATCGGCCGACAGCACAGCTACCCTTTGGTTTCTTCTACACGTAAAGTCCAAAGACGTAAAGCAAGAGCTCTGTAAAATGCTGAAGATTTTAGAAGTGTAATGGCAGGTAGAAAAGTACACTGGTCTTGTATCAGTGGCAGCCCCAGTGTTAGGAGACAGTCTAGGCTTCTAGGAGGAGAAAATAGAAGAGAGGAAAAGAAGTAGGAGAGGGAAACGGGATGGGGAAAGGGGCAAAAAAGCGCAAGTCATTAGTAAACATGAACATTCACGTAGCAACTGCACAACAAGCAATATTTCATTTAGTGCAGCCAGGAGATTTGCCAAAAGCCAGATTAGAGACACGTGGAATTTTGCTTTTAGAAGGGTCTGAAAATATATCGCTAGTCATGCTATGGCATGACATTGTGCCACATGCAAAAATTAGCTGTGATAAATCAAGATTAGTGACAAATTGCTATCAAAAGAGCAGCAGCTCAGGATGCTGCTTAAAAGCACAATTTGCACTGAAAGCAGTGACAACGTATTTTTGTGACCCGATCTCAGATGAGAGAACGACAAGCAGGCTGGTTGGAGAGAAAGTCCAGCTAGGGAAAGTATGAACACCGCAGAGCAATACTTCCCTAGGTTACTTCTCATCTTCCAGCAAGGTAACAAACGGGATCTTGGAACAAGAGGTATCCAGATTAAACCATACAATCATCCTTAATGGATTTCTTTCCAGAAATTTGTCTTTTTTAAAATGCATCATTCCTTTGAACTCTAGGCAAATATCCTGCAATAAGGAGGTGCAAACGTTGCACTGTTCAAAAATTACACTTTTTTTGCTGCTGTTTTAAACCTGCAGAGTTTTACTAGGCACCCTCTAACCTCTGCATCATGAGAGTTAGCAGTTAGTTCCCTAATTCAATACCTGCATGCCATCAGTGATTGTAAACTACTAACAGTTCCCTCCCACCCTCGCTGATTCACTTGAGTCGCACCAGATGTGCACAGCTTCCCTCCAAACGCTGCACCGACCGCTCT